TTGCGCACGACCTGGTGTTGTCTAGCTACTTGCCCCTTTCCATTTCTTTCGTTCGTGGGTCTCAAGGCGGGTCAGAACCCAAGACATGTGCGAACTTGCCTTGTTCATTTCACGTCAAAACCGTTCCAATGGACTAAAACCATGGAAGAACGTGCAGAACCATCCTGCAAACCTGTTTTTTGCATCAAGCAGCCCCACAGAGACCGCTATATATAAACGCAGACAAACATATATATATATATATAATATGTATAATATGTTGATATGTATATTGACTATCTTACATATTTATTATGCACTGTAGAACTCATTGTTCATTGGTTTCGAGAGGTTCCCTTCAATTTGTGGTGTCTTTTTGGCTTCTTGTTTTGGTGATATAAGAGGCTTTGTAGCTCAACATGTTCTACAGTAGCAGGGTATGCATCGGCAACTCTGGGTGGCAATTGGGCATCCTTCGCAGCCCAGTGAATCCTGACCCTTGATAATTTAGCTCTCGAGCAAAATGACTCAAAACCGTGCCCTGGCAGCGAAATAACATATACTGTACAGGAATCTGTTACACGTAGAAGTCGAGGACGCCACCTGAGATCGGAAGATGAGCCTATTGTTCGGCACTTCATGCTGTCCTGTTGGGAGTTGTTGTATTGCCAGTATTGTGTCACAGTTCACTCGTTTGCAAACCGTGAGGTTACATCCTCACGGAGATTTGTGAGTACAGTTCAATCTTCGCTTTATTCGTCTCCTCTGTTCTCAGCGGCCACTACGCCCAGTGGTTCGGATGAAACTAGTCGCCAGTTGCCCACCGGATGGGTGGTCCACTGTCGTGGGAACTGGGATGATCCGACTGGGTCGGTTTGACGGATGTTTGGCTGCCACCATGCGTGATTTGGGCCACCTGTTTGGACTAGCTAGCAGAGTGGCTAAAAGTGACTAGCATAAACCACTAGACTGGGCTTCCATTAGACACCCCATACGGAGGGTCCAGGCAGTTGTATCATAGAATCTGTGTGAAAGTTCCAATGGTATGTTATGTGTTTACTAGATGACTGTCTATAGCATTTGGCACCAGATAAGAACTGCAGCATTGGACGATGGAACACGATCGCCTACAAAATTGGGGTCTTTGCCAAATATAAGACTTGAGTCACCTGTGTACGCTTCCATGGACAACCTCCCTTTGATCATGGGGATGCGTGCAGTCCTCCACATAGTCCCATTCCCAAAACGCACAACGATTCGCTTTGGTTGCTCAACTCAAACACTTAAACAAAAGATCCGAATTTTGATCTCCGGACAGGTTGGTTGGATAGCACCCCCGGACGAACTGACCGCCAAGCTCATTTGTCCCTTCCACTCATCCACTGGGGTCGCTCCTCACTCGCTTGGCGTGCAGGTATGGCATGTCGTCGGAAGCGCAGAGCTTCACCAGCGAGCTGGCCGAGCTCATGGCCTACACCGCTGAAAGCACCCCGGCGGCAAATGGATGCGGCGCGCTTGCAGGTGGTATGTGCAGCAGGAAGTGACATGGGTGACCCGTACACAGTTGACCGAGAGCCACTGTTCAAACCCATGAAACCATCCCCCAATGGGGACCGCAGGTTCTGCTTTATTTATTTTGGTGGTGGGTAAGTCAGGCACGTCTCCTATGGGTTTGGTGATAATTTTGGTCTCTTTTGTGTCATTGACATGCGGGGAGTCAGCCAACCAAGGTCACCACGCCAGACGGGTGTTTCTTAACTAAAGACAATTAATGGAAAAACATTATATAACTTTAAAAAAAGGTAAAGAGGTTCAACAAGGCCCCATTAAGTGAGCCTCATTTCATTCTCCTCAACTGTCAAAGAGGCCCTTTACCGTCGGTTTTCTTTGCATCCGCAACATCCATCGGAGATCTCCCCGGATCCCGACCGCGCTCAGGCATTGTTTTCGGCTACTTCGGCCTCACGGCTGTCTCTTACACCTCTGAGGCGCATGCAGTGGGTATCTGGGCCTATAAAGCTGATCATTTGGTCGGAGGAAAACGATGAAGAAGCAGGACATTGGGAATTCTCAAATGCAACCGCACAGTGTAGGTCGAAGGTCGGTAGAGATTTTCATTTGCACGGAAGCAGTGAATTGAAGTTCCTATAGAAACAAGTGGAACAGTTTAATGGGTGGAACTGCTATGTTTTTGTGGTTGTCCTATGCTTCTGTTGGGTTTCCCGCGAAGAAGTGGAACCCTGCAGTGGCATACTAGGAAGAGAGATGAAGAGACCGAGTTGTTTTTGGTGGAAGTGGGGATGGCCCGCAATAAAAAGGACAACTGGTCTCACTATGGTGGCCTCATGTGGCCAGTTTTGATCTGATAGTTGATGATCTGGTCTTTGCTTGATGTAGATCTCTGAGGTTTCGAGTTCCGGTTGATCTTCTACTACATCATTTGCATCGTGGGTGCACGTGTGGTGGCCGTGAGTCTGATGGCCTTGTCCATGCGATTGCTGAAATGTGGTCAGCGCCTGGCCCTGAGCCCCAAGGAGCTGTGCACCTTGGGCGAAGGCACCACCTGGATCGAAGGTGAAAGAAAAACACACCATACCAGCCATCACCCCGCCGAGTTCAACACCAAGAGGCCGTATACAGACCGTGGTGTTCCATACAAGCATCTGAAGGGGTGCAGGATGTCTTTCATCATCTTTCATCAACACTTGAGCGAGTTCACCGGTGTTTTGAGATCGGGGTGGATCTCCATGTCCGCATGCCAGAACTGTGAGCAGTCGTTCTGCTATGGTTTGCATGGAGAGGCTGTTCGCTATGGCCTGACAAACCATATATAATTCAGGTGAAGCCGGCAGGTAAAGCGCGATTGTCACTTTCTTTTTTGCAAGTGCTCAACTAAACTAGTAATAAATATGTTTCCATATTTTTCCAGCAACTGGGTGTGTTTTTTGGTGACTCAGATTGCAACCACCACGACTGAGCCCACAGTGGTCTTTCCGTTTAAGAAACTACCCTCCATGACGTTCAAACGGTGAACGGGCGAGCGCATAGTGAGCTATAAAACGAAAATTGGTGTTTGACTGCAAATCCCACTACTCTAATCCTGATCATGTCCACCTTGGCAAAGGATCATATTTAAAACCGTCCTGCTGCATTATACAAATTTGGATAATCTATGTTTTGCGATACTTCTGCACATGCATTCCTGCTAAACTTCTACCAAGAGGTGTTCACGCTGAGCACGAAGGCGGTTGAAGAAGAAGAAGAAGAAGAGGGAGAGGAGGTACTCCAGCCAAAGAGTTGCTACCTTTGATGTTTCAGTGGAAATCCAACCAATATAACTATCATATAACAGGAGACAAGAAACCAGCCCACGAGCTTTCACTGCGAACCACTGAACCACCCCTACAACTTGTAGACTGGAACACCCTTGGACAGGGTCCAACAAACCGGTCTTTTGCCAAGGTATGGTGGCGATGGCTGGCTGCATGCGTGGCACCATTGCCTACGCCTTGATCCTACGAGCGGTGCCCCCGGAGGACGACCAGTCCCATGTGGATAGAATCATGGTGACCACCGTTTTGGGCATTGTGCTGGTGAACTGCTTGGTGTTCGGTGGAATGTTTCCCGTGGTGAAGCTCGGTGATGAGTTAGCGTTGGGAGTGTTGAGGGCGTGTTGAGCATGTTAGAGTAAGGAGGGAGGCTCGTCTGGTTGTGTGATGATTCTGTGATGATCTACCCGTCATGAGCTATTTGTTGTTGCTTTCTGCTCCAAATCCATCCAAAGGCTTTGTAGAGGTTTACAACCTTTTGTTTGCCAGTAGTATTCCCAGGAGTCACACCAGGCTGAACACGTGGATGGCACATGACAGCACTAGTTCCTATATGTTCCTATGTATTGGGTTGGATGAGCCCTCAAACTCTACCAATTGTGGTTTGTTAACAAACGCCTCCCAGGTTTGAACTCCTATATACATTGTTTGAGTTGTATTTTGTATATATATATATAGAGATAGAGAGAGAGACCTTTTCTATCCTTTTCTTTGTCTGTGTGGGGCTGAGGTTCCAGGAAGTGTGACTGGTTTCTCAGCCAAAGCCAAGGATGCGACTGCTGAAGCTGGAGCCACGCCCCGACCAGGACTCCCCAGTCTCAGGTGACCACTTCACCCGACAGCTGCGAAGGGAACTGGCGGGGCGTTGGCAGAACTTCGACCAGAGGCCCCAGTTTGGTAGGGCCTAAGGGGTTGCTTTGGCGTGCTTTGTGGGGTCCTTTTTGTCCTTTGTTTAGTTTAGCCCGCTCCTACTTAATTAAGTAGGTGCCTACTAAATTAAGTAAGGACAAACTTGATCGCTCCAAGCTACTAGGACGCTCTACATATGGACGCAGGATAGCTCACGCTTCTTCAAGGAAGCTCCCTCCTTGAAGAAGCGCTCGCACTAATGATTTGGTTTCTAGATTTCTAGGGCAGGGAAGCTTCGTGCGAGCTCTTTGTGCGATGACCCCTAGCATTGTCTCTTCACAATTGCTGTGTCCCATCCCTCTTGTATATTGGTCAACTGATTCAGCATCCACAATCGACATCATCTAGATCTAAACATGAGTTGAGTGAGTTTCACTCCTGACATGATCGGAGTTGGCAGGTATTTGATGCCACTCTTTCGCCCTCAATGTGACCAATCTTCTGTGGGCGTCAGCATGGCCGGAGCGCAAGACAACGCCTGAGACTTGCTCGGCGTGCATTCTGTGCGATAGCCTGGAGCGTAGAAGCAAAAAGGACCGTGGGGCCATGCCGCTGTAACATCAGGAAATTTGGTGTCTTTTCACGTCCCAGGCAAGCATTTTGAGTCTGAAGGTGCATAGTTTGCTTATAACAAATCTGTTTCAAGCTAAACACTCTGGTTCTGGAGAACTTGGGGAACTGTGAGCTGCCTGCGGATGTTCCATACTCTATCCCATTGTGCTTTGTGAAGTGGTTTAGCAGCTTAGCACTCCTCCATCGTCCCCATGCCTCACGTCGCCCGAGGTGCTCTCTTTGGAGGACGCCTGTCGCCTCATTGCCCTCCGTGGGCGGCTCATTGCTGAGAAGTGCGAGGCCGAGGTGCGCAGATGGTCTGCTCTTTCTCAAGGGCTCCGTGGAGTAACTAAAATCAATTAGCTTCTATAGCTACTAGTAGCGATGCACTTGTTACTAATAGCTCTTTCTCAAGGGCTCCGTGGAGTGGTGCACAGATCTGTAACATTCTTTTTTCACACGATCATCTGTACGGACTCTCCGACAGGGAACCTGGATTCTTGGTTACTTGCCCTTTAAACGGGAAAACATGCCAACCTATCGAAACCATTGCTATTTCATGATAGTTCATGATAGTTCTACTTTTACAGCCACAGTGGGATTGATCCCGCTGGAACCAGCAACTTGTTGGTAAATGAGTAGAATGAAACATCTCAGCAACATTTGTGCAGAATTAAGGAATGATAGGATCGTTTCCGGAAAGGTTTCTCTACATGTTAGTGAATCGGTGTCTACCAAGTACCTACTTATATAGATGCATTTGTTCTATATCAGGAAGTACCTGATCGGGTGGATCAACCAAGCAAAAGTCATTGGGAACTAATTGTGTAGCTATCACAAGCAGTGAATGATCATCAAACCTCAACTGAGCATGGAAAGAAATGGTCCCGATATGTCCTGATGGTTTACCAGAGCTCTTTGGATGAGCCCTCATTCCGAAAGATTGTCGGAAAGGAAGTTACTTTTCCAAGTGGATCTTTGGATTGCTATGTTTGCGTGCAGGTATATATATATATATACCCATCTCTGATGAAATTGACCTGCGGGTTCGTCGGGCCAGAACCTTTCTGGTCTCCGGACCCCTTGCTGCGAGGTATGTTCGGACCACAATTTGCCTTGGCATTGGGATGGGATCTTGCACTTTTGGTTGTCCGGAAATCCTGCTTCTCAACTGGACAGGGATAACCTTGCAAACTACTGTACCGTACCCCAGGGGTAGGGAGACTCCTTCCTGGTGAAACATAGACTCACAATGACTCATAGACCAAAATGGGGCCAGGAACCCATTTGGATCCTTCCGATTATGATCGTCACCATTTTCCCTTCCAGGTCGGCACCATGTCGGCACTCTTCGCTCCAGAACAGGACGTGGACTATTTGGCACTGGGGGGCTTCACCAGAGGTATGTGATGGGTGGTCAAGAAGAAATAGGAGAGTATAGGGGAAGGGAAGAGTAGCAAGATCTCCTGCGTGCAGCTGCCGTTGGCCATCCGGATTTCCTTGTTATGCGCAGGATTTCTTGAAATGCCGCTAGGAGCGTGCTGTGCTTTTGTAACTTTTGTTGAAGGCGCTGGACTTGCATGTATGTGGACTTCATTTTCTACCTATGACTTCTAAGCCTAGTTGTGACTTTCAAGCCCAGGTCAGTGATTCCAACCTTGTGGTAGTGTTCCGATACACTGTAGACTATACACGACATACTCGTACTATCTCGTACTCATGGAACAGGTAGATTTGCGCAATGAACCAAAAATCAAAGGTTGGATGAGGCTGGACGATCAAATTGTTTTATCAATGTTTATCAGTGGTGACAAAATTTAAACTAGACGACGAGTGGCCCGAAAGCATTTTTCATCACGTGTGAAGTTAGAGTGTGAGTTATGTGTCAAGTGTTCAGTGTGAAGTGTTAAGTCGAGTGTGTTGAGGCAGTGTGTGGGTCTCTGTGTGTGTATCTATGTCTGTGTGTGTATGTGTCTCTGTATGTCTTTCTGATGCGCAGGAACACCTTCTTTCTGCAAGTTCTTGACCTCTCGCAAGTCACCTCCGCGTACTGGAGTTGTACTACCAAGTCGCCAGTTCTCATCTTCCAGCTCCCCCGATACTCCGCGCACTAGAGTGGTACTACCAAGTCGCCAGTTCTCATCTTCCAGCTCCCCAGATACTCCGCGTACTCAAGTTGTACTACAAAGTCGCCAGTTCTCAGCTTCCAGCTCCCCAGCTACTCCGCGTACTACAATTGTACTACAAAGTCGCCAGTTCTCATCTTCCAGCTCCCCAACTAGTCCGCGTACTAAAGTTGTACTACAAAGTCACCAGTTCTCATCTTCCACCTCGCCAGATACTCCGCGTACTAAATTGTACTACCAAGTCACCAGCTCTCATCTTCCAGCTCCCCAGCTACTCCGCGTACTACGGTTGTACTACAAAGTCGCCAGTTCTCAGCTTCCAGCTCCACAGCGACTCCGGGTACTCAAGTTGTACTACAAAGTCGCCACTTCTCAGCTTACAAAGTCGCCAGTTCTCATCTTCCAGCTCCCCAGCTACTCCGCGTACTACAATTGTACTACAAAGTCGCCAGTTCTCATCTTCCAGCTCCCTAACTAGTCCGCGTACTGAAGTTGTACTACAAAGTCACCAGTTCTCATCTTCCACCTCGCCGGACACTCCACGTACTAAAGTTGTACTACAAAGTCGCCAGTCCTCATCTTCCCACTCCCCAGCTACTCCGCGCACTAACGTTGTACTACCAAGTCGCCAGTTCTCATCTTCCAGCTCCCCAAAGTCCGCGTACTAAAGTTGTACTACGAAGTCGCCAGTTTTCTCAGCTTCCAGCTCCACAGATTGCTCCGCGCACTAAAGTTGTACTAGAAAGGCACAATCTCCGCAGAGGTTTGCGCGCGTGCAGGATAAATCGCACTCTCGCCTGCATCTCGCGCACTCGACACGCACGATCTCCGCAGAGGGTTGCGCGCGCGCCGAACAAGTCACACTCTCGCCTGCATCGCGCGCACCGCGCAAATCGCGCTCTCGCCCGCATTTGGCGCACTCGACACGCACGATCTCCGCAGAGGGTTGCGCGCGCACCGCGCAAATCGCACTCTCGCCTGCATTTTGCGCACTCGACACGTACGATCTCCGCAGGGGGTTGCGCGCGCACCGCGCAAATCGCACTCTCGCCTGCATTTTGTTCACTCGACACGCACGATCTCCGCAGAGGGTTGCGCGCGCACCGGACGAGTGGCGCTCTCGCCTGCATTTGGCGCACTCGACACGCACGATCTCCGCAGAGGGTTGCGCGCGCACCGGACGAACGGCACTCTCGCCTGCATTTCGCGCATTCGACACACACGATCTCCGCAGAGGGTTGCGCGCGCGCCCGGCAAATCGCACTCTCGCCTGCATTTCGCGCATTCGACACGCACGATCTCCGCAGAGGGTTGCGCGCGCACCCGGCAAATCGCACTCTCGCCTGCATTTCGCGCACTCGACACGCACGATCTCCGCAGAGGGTTCCACTTTCGGTTGACGCTGTTCGTCCCACCCTCCGCCTTTAAGAGAGAATTTATAAAGTGGGGAAATGTTTTTTCATTAGGACATCTCCCGTGCTAGTTTTCCATGCTCACACTTGCCTACTCTCACACTTGCCTACTCATTACATGCTTTGCCTACTCATTGCATGCTTGCATACTCATTACATGCTTGCATACTCATTTTACATGCTTGCTTACTCATTGCATGCTTGCATACTTACACTTGCATACTTTGACACTTGCATACTTTGCACTTCGCTCTTCCACTTACACTGGGGTACGTATACCGATCATGTTGTAGCGCAAGTGTGGTAGAAGTGTCAGTGTGTAAGTGTAAGTGTCGAAGTGTCAGTGTTCAAGGGGTTTTCCGGAAGAACCCTTCGCAATGCTTTCGGGAAAAAGGATTGCTTTCGAGAGGTGTGGGCTCCCATTTGCTACTCGCTTTGCGTCACCCCCAAGTGTAATTAGTGCAACACGCATTTCGTGGATTCCGTTTGGTTGCCCCAACAAAACATCCTCCTCCAAAAGAGCACAAGCAGATGTTTGAAGATGGCTTGGTTGAGAAATGCTCTACCAAGAGGTCGACTCACGTTGAAACCAACTCACCTTGCCACAAGTATGATCCTCAGCTCCAACCCGCCCTTCCCCCCCCTTTTCGAAGAGTCCTGCTCCCGCCATAGGACGTGAAGAAGGCCATCGCAGCCTCCAAGGTGGCCACCAGTGACGTGGCCATCGCCGCGGTGAACGGGCCCAAGATGACGGTGATCAGCGGCCGTAAGGAGGCCGTGCAGAAGGCCAAAGCGGGAACTGGGACGAAATACCAAGTGTTTGTGGAGTGCATGATACGCCAGTTTGTATTTTGAGACCTGTAAACAAACATTGGAAGGATCAATATATGTCAAATTCCAGTACCTCTACTCGAGCCAGCTGACATGGAGTTCGACTGGAGGGAAGTATGCTTCCTTGAACATCTTAAGCCTAAGCATGACTCTACGCTTCCCCCAGCATCATGGATTCAGTTTCTCCTTTGTAGGTTCCAAACTCCGCGCCAAAGCTCCACCAGTTTAATCAGCAGGTCTGGAGAGGAAAGCTCAGAAAGGAGTACCCAGTTCAATATGTATTTAGCATGCATGGCAAATTGCTGGACCCTCAAAAGATCATTAAATTGTGGAACCTGATCCGAAGAGGAATGTTCTTCATAGGCGAAGTCGACAGCAGAAAATCATCATCGTTTCGGCGGAAATCCTTTTCCATACAGTAGGAAGAACACAGCAACTGTTGTAGTTATTTATATATATATATACGTACTGTACTGCTTTATAATTCTGTTCTATTTCACTTGGGGTCTAGCTTGTTCGCTTAAGCAGCTATCAGCTCCACACCACAGCATCCCTCGCTTTACGCCAGGTGGCCGAGACTTCTGGAGCAACCAGCCGACCGTTGACGCTTGGCAGAGGCAAAAAGCGGGAGGCAACAAGATTCTGCACCATAAACTCCATAGACACCCAATCAAGCTACTCTCGCAGATTCACACCCCAAGTGAATCCCAGCTACCACCATACCATACAAACATATACGGAAGGATCCAGAGGCCCTGTAGATCTACAGTTTGCCTCTTCGGCAAGGGCAACACTGTTGGAGGAGATGCTGTACTGTAAAAAGGCTTGGGCACCCCAACGAGTTGGAGTTCTTCAGCAAGTAAGGCAGCAATAGCATGTGTAAAAGTATCGCAAAATTGAAATTAAGCTCAAGATTACGACGTAGGATGCCTAGCGGCCAAGGACGGTGTCTCATGCCTTCCATTCGCCGCTGATGCAGCCCATGTTGGACGACTTTGGAGCAGAGGTCGCCAAGGCCCGGTCTGTCATGGTCCGTCGGTCTCTAGGAATTTCAATGGAGCCTGGAGCCTGGGTGACCAGTGGTTTCAAAGACTAAAGCCACCTTGTGTATGGCAAATCCACAACTGCCGTGGACGGTTGGTTGAAGATAGGTTGGAGGTTATGTGTATTTGCATGCTGTAGTTGACATGAACTGAACTACGGTATGTAACTTGCTTACATCAGCCATCTTTCCTCTCCTGCCCACTGTGCCACAGGCGCACTCTAAACAGGTAGATGTGGCTCCACAACGGGAGAGACGCACGGAATTATATATTCCATGTCATTCCCATTTGTTGAGCCAGTTTGCCAGGTGACTTCGTTCGGCGAGTTGAAGGTGCCCTTCTTCTCTACCCTTTTGGGCCGCGCAGCGACCTCGGAAGACTTGTCTCAGGCCACGATTGCGAGAAAGCGCGATCCATGGTGCAAGCTTGCGATTTGTGGCTCAGGATGGGTTGAGTAAGCAGGATTCTAGCTCAGAAAGCCTCCAGCATCCACCAACTGTTTCGAAAATTTGTTGCAGGTGTGCTCCTTCATGAATCTTCACTCATCTCCCACAGCTAAAGGGATGGCATGACCCCCGGATTGGAGGAATCTTCATGAAACTTACTTGTCCATTCCAATAAAACCATTACACAATCCACGAAAATCAAAGAAGAGGCACCGAAGAAGTGGCACCGAGCTCCGAAGGGAGCTTTGAGACTATCCCTGCTTTGGGCATGTTGTGTTGTCAAATTTATTGGGGCTTGCGGCGCGCGGTGGTGACACTAGCATCAACTGTGCCTATTCATTTGCAAGCGATCAGTTGGGAACAAAACTAAGCATACCTTTCCTTAATGCAGTTTCTTGCAGCTGTTTGTCATGTTCTATCAGATGTACAAATTAACAAAAATTGCGATTCTCCGTCATTGAACAACGCTTATAGATCTGAGGAAGTTGTTGGAGCTCTAGGCTAGGTAGTCCAATAAAGTTGAAATGAAGCCCGACCTTTTGACTTAGTTAGGGTCTCCAGTCACAGGTGAAGTACTGGGTCGACCATGTGAGCTCGGCTGTGCGCTTCACCGCCGGCATGGATGCTGGGATGAGTACGTTGGATTTTAGTTCAGTAAGGAAGAGACAGCTACTAACCTAATAGTGATGGCCTCCAACCTACTAGCGATGGCCTCCAACCTACTAGCGATGGCCTAGTACATGCTTGTGTCATCTGGGATGTGTCAAAACCAACCACAGCTTTTGTTCAAGTATCGTGGGTGAGTATGCCTGGTTTGGCGCACGCATGACATACTGCATGGCCGGCCTTTGGTCTAGTGTGTCCACTGTACTTGTCAAAACCATGCAGGAAGGTACCACTCAGTATTGAAGGTCGTCCCCTTTCCATTCAGATCAGCTAAACCCAGATAAATTCCTCAATCCGATTCTCACTCATAATCCATCTCCGGGTCTCCCCTTCTATCAGATCAGTGTTTCATCTTTCGGTGGCATTGCGTGAACACCATATTGTTGAAGGCCTTAGTCTCAGTATGTTACACGAACTGTTCGTACCCCCAACACCCTGAATCAGTGAGCTCATATTAGATCTTCGCTTCAGATCCTGCACAAGACCGTGGGCAACCTCTCGTGGGTCGTTTGTCAGCTGTTGAAATCACTCGGTCGTCCCTCTACAGCAGGAAATCCAGGGCCACCTGGGATTCCATTGCTGTACAGTAAAGTAACCACGAGTTTCCTCGTTTCAGATTGCGCAGGATTTCTTTTGAACAAGAGTCCTGGCATGTCCTCGCTGATTCCAGTGCATGTGCAATTCTACCCTTTTTTGTTTGCTTGCTGTGCAGATGTTGATTGCTGTGCAGAACGGTCAGATGCAAGTCCAACCTCGCTCAGGAAGCCTTGGAAGAAGCAGAGAGCCCAATGGTATTCTTGGAGATAGGCAAATTGACGGCAAAATTCGCTGGTCTGGGATTGGATTTGTCAGGTTTGTAAGTGTTCTTACAAGATACGGGTCAGTTGGGTTTGCGCTAAAATTGGGATACTCCCCGATCTGATTTGGAGACTAATTTTCTTCACTTTGCCAAATCCTTGGGGCTTCCCAACTAGAATCACACCCAGTGGTTTCCTACCACAGGTATCACTTCGAACAATGCATTGTTTAATAAGTTTAGTCTGTCTCAAAGAAGGCTTGGGATACTAACTGCCCTCCTTGGCAGTCTTGGTTTGTCGGTGAAGAGCATGTGCACTGCGGGTATGGGATCTTGTAGACGACTTTTTTGCTATTTCAAATACGTAACGGAATCCGAGGGACTACATGACAGCAGCACACTGAGCCTCACTGAGCTATGTTCAGGGCCCAGGGCACATGGGGGTGAGCAAGTTTAAGCCAAGTATGTTTGTCTTGCGCGAGGGGAGCGATAGAGCAATACTGAACAGTGAATAGTGTTACTGTATCAGACCAAGTGGGCATGGAGGGGCCTTGGTACTCTTTGTGGAAGCAGCTGCTGTGCGATACTTTGGATGGTGTATCTCAGTATGCAGAGGGCGCTGCAGCAAGTCGTGCAAGCGATGCCTATGGTAGGCTTCAGTCAACGCAAGTTCAGATCACTGGACACGTGGAGTACCACAATGCCGAGGAGAAGAGACGCGTCGAAATGAGTGGCGCAGGATGGCGCATTGGAGCATGGTGTTGAGGGCAGTGATTTGGTGGAGAGCCCTTGGGAGAGCCTTGTAGACTTGAGATTCGGAGCACAGATATATAGCTAGGACAATCTGGTAAACCTGAAGACGGGAAAGGGAAATGTGCCGGTTGGTAAGCCTGGTAAGCACAGGACAAACACCGGAACGCGCCAAAGGCCTGAGAGTGACTGGCATTGACATCGGCGGACGAGGAAGAATCGGAAGCAAGGAAAACGCCATGGCATTTAAGGTGAGGCGTTCGCTTGTGACGCTGAGTTGCTCGTCGCTTGCGACGCTAATTTGGTCGTCTTTTTCTTCGGTTCAAGAGTAGTTCACGTATTGTTCAATGGTCAAAACAAGACACGCAATACAATGATTTCACTAGCGGTGTGCCTGCGTGGGCCAAGAACGTGGTTTGAAGTTTTCACGGACACTGTACCCCCTTCCCCTTAACCAGCCCCCCTGTTGAAACCTATGTTCAGGCACTACTAAGGTGTGAGCAGGCTTCAAATCTCAGTTTCTAATCGGTAGGCGTTCAACATCCAAAAGTGCATGCATTGGATTCGTGCCAAGATGTCGCTTGTTTTCCTTTCGGTCTTGTATTGAGACCTCGGTCCTGCTTCGGTCTACTAATTAAGATCTCGATTGTTGGTGATCTCTGGCTGAATCCCGAACCCATTTCACCCCAATTCACCCTGCTGATGGTGATGAGGATCGTGTGCAGGTCTGCAAGTGGTTTTGAACGTTAGCATCCCGGTGATGCTGGTTGTTGTCGAAAGTGATCGGCAAAACCATTCCCGGTCCTCCTGCCTCCAAACATATGTTGGGGATGCGCAGCAAAGCCAAAGGGGAGTTGAGGACAACCCTGAAGCAAAATCCCTGGTACACTCACAGAGCTGCTCACTGCGCACACACCAGTCCTACGTCCTACGCCTTCCTAGGGAGTCAGTAGTCACCACATACGAAGCTCCAAGTTGCACCGTCAAAAAGCACCACTGGGCTTTAATGCCCAGCTCTCAAGCGCAGGGGTGAATTGTCCAATGTTGCCTCCACAGGGCAAGTTAACCGAGAGGTAGGGCTGAAGGCTGCATAGGGGGAGCTGGGGTTGAGACATAGTAGCTGAAATTTGGTAACATTGAGTGCCAAACCACGGCGAGCTGCCTGAAATTGAAGGAGGTGGAGAAAGCGATGAAGGGAACAGCTGTTCTAGCGGTGTGGGTTTTGTGATTCAGAAGCAGGACGGCACCAGACACTTGGACACTGCTGGCTTGCATTTCGCTTGTGCTCAGCCACATCGAACAGCTCCACCTCCTGATGTAGTCGAGCGAAACCTGTAGTCACTGTAGTCATCCCAATCCCAAGGAGGGGTGGAAAGTGGTTGCAAGATTGGCCAGAGGACGAACTTTTTGTTAAGATTTGTTTGGGTAATGGTGCAACTGACAGTGAGCAACAAAACTTCCCTCCATCCTAGCTGACCTGTTGTTTTTTGTTGAAACTTGACCGCTGTCCGTGAACTACGCTGTGACTTTGCAGGAAAACATTGAACTTCAGAGAACCTCATCCAAGGGTTTCAAAAGCATGGCTGAAAAAGATCAGGGGGGTCCTTTTATACTTTTAGGATGGGGGGCGCACTAATTTATTATTCCAGGGGGGGGTCACGTACTGGAATAATTGTTTTGGAATAATTTCAAGTGGAATAATTTTTTGGTACGGAGGCCTGACGTATATGTACCCACCCCCCCTGGAATAATAAAAAAGAAATAAAAATAACATGTCGGTGAATGAAGTTCAGTTATCTGATTTGAATGGCTCCAATTGTTCTTGTCTCAAGCCAACAGGTAAGTGAAAAGAAATGAAAAGATAAGCATTAATCAAGCCCAAGTACAAAATAGACTTTCAAACCCATAAAGAAAATAATACAGGACTTTTGACATGATGTGAGCACTGGACTCAAAGATTCTACCGGATGCCCATGTATGTATTAAGTCTTGTTGGACTAATTCAAGCGCTGTTCCACCAGCGCCCAATTCCTGGCTACCATCCGTGATGGCATCGGACACATCGCCTGCGTTGCCTACGGCTCCGTGTCCATCATCTTGCGGACTTCCTACATGTGTCTTAGCGGAAGTTTTGCGCTGCAGTTCTGAGTCTTGTTTACGCATGCAGGTGACAGGCGCTGTTTTCTATTCTGCTTTCTCTAACGCAGAAAAGATTGGTTTACAGTGATCCTTTTTGCCAACCACTCCTCCCAAAAACCTTTTAATCTAGGACTGGAATTGGTTCTTGCTAGAGCCACAACAGGTGGAGGAAAGACACGCAATCCAGAATGGAACAAAAAGTATGGTGTGTTCACAGCTGTATGCGCCGCTGGGTCAGTTTTACAATATTTCTATTTTTATGTTGTTTACCAAGAGCTCAGCTTTGGTATCTTTGATCCCTTGACTTTCATATCTGTTGACGCCAATCGAAAATCTCCAAAAATTTTTAGGTTTTTTTTTTCGCGGTCACTCAGGACAATGATGGATTAACGACAACTGGGGCAAGGCGTGTATCTCACCACGTTTGGATTCATCGTCAGCCAACAGGATGGACCTTCACAACATGCTTATCAAAATCAATGAAGAAATTTGCTGTGGAAGGAAGCTTTTCAAAAAAAAACATATGATATCTGTGCTTTTCATGTTTCCTTGAGATTTCTTTTGGGCAAAATTTGATTCGAATGGCTGTGCAACACAGAGGTTCCGATCAGAAACGTAGATTCACTTCTCATCTCATGAGTTGCCTTTGCCGATGATGTTTTGGGGCCACAGCCCAGGAACCTCTGAGACTGCAGAGCTAGATCTGGCACTCACGATGGGTGAGCCTGCACCGATGGGATTGCCTCAGAGTACGGGGACAGATGCAGCATCCGGGAACGAGAAGCAACAGGATTTGTCTGGAATCTAGATTGCCACTATTGGAATACTTTATAGTATTTCTTTAATTCTGTAGTAGTTTCCGGCGACCCCTTTCATGGGACACTGGAGGAACACATGATGTCTGAAGCCAAGGATCTGCCCCGGCTGCACCTGCGCCTGACCAAGCTACTTTGCCTTCTGCCGCTGATGTTAAGAAGGATCCGGTGAAAGATTCCAGAATCTAAACTGCTGTTCAACATGTGTTCATATTTTTCTATGTCTTCTTTCAAAAGACATGTAAATAGATAAAAATGATAAAAACATTGATATAATATTCCATGGGGGTTCGAGAGCCGGTGACTATTTGGAATAAAATTGTGGATGATGGTTGCTGAATAAAGTTATTGGGTTTGGTGTGGTTTGCAGTAAATATTCTAGCCACTGCCCTCAGGTACCCACCCCACAGAATAATAAACCAGAGAACAAGAACTGAGGACCAGCTCCTGAAGAACCAAGTTCTGCGTCAACCACACCTGGAAAGCAGGAAAGCGCTGGGCGAGATCCAATTGGAACTTTGGTCTGCCATTCAACAAAACCCCCGGGTTGCTGTGGATTATGTCGGGTTGTGAGGCTGTATTTCTCTTCAACTCTTTTCACATTCACATTGTGCAAGTCCAAGGATATGTTGAACCTGTTGCTGAGCTGCCAGCTTCCAACAGTGCGGATGGAGTGGGCCCGCCAAGTGCATCTCTCAAGCATGAGAAGGCTGAAGCATTCCTGCAGGCTTCTGCGCGTGCCGCGTTTGCGGAGGAAGAGACAGAGAAATCGTCTGGAATCTCGATTTCCATTGGTGTTTGATTGTGTTTGTATGTTTTTGTATGCTTTGTTTTTTTGAATATGGTTTGGCAACATCCTGTGTGGATTTTGTAGATTTTGAAGCCAAGGATCTGCCTCAGCTGCACCTGTGCTTGGCAAAGCTATTTCGCCTCCTGCCGCCGATGTGAAGAAGGATCCAGAGAAACGTTCCAGAACCTGAACTGCTGTTCAACATTGCTTTTCAGATTTTGAAAATTATTCCATGGGGGTTCAACAGCAGGTGACTATTTAGAATAGAATTGTGGATGGTTGTTGCTGAAGGTCTTTAGGTTTGGTGTGGTGATACAAGATGGATTCAATAACTATTCCACCCAGTGTGTTCAGGTGCCCACCCCACAGAATAATAAAAGTCAACAACAAGAACTGAGGAACACCAGTGGTGATGTTTTTTTGGATATATGTTTTTTTGTTTTCCTGGTGGGTTAGGTTTTGTGGCGCTTTGAAAAATAATGATTCATTATGATTCATTAATATTAATTAGACATGT